CGACCAGCTGCAGAGAAGAGGGATTCCGATGCCGAACCGTTGCACAATGTGTTTTAAAGCCGAGGAAACCAATGGCCACATTTTCATCCATTGCCCACTGGCGGGTGAACTGTGGAGTCGCCTTCTCTCGCCTTTCCATTGGCAATGGGTTACTCCACCATCCATCCCTGGGGTGCTCTTGGCTCTTCGCCCTCACCCTTGGCCGAAGTCAATGATCTTGCTTTGGAAAGCCTCCACTATGGCCCTCATTTGGACAGTGTGGATCGAGCCCAATAACCGGATCTTCAATGGTTAGTTTTTCTCCTCTTTGGTGCTCTTCGACAAGTTCAAATCTTCAGTGCCTTTTTGGGCAGCAAATCATAGGTACTTCAAAGGGATCGAATCCACAGCCTTCTTGAGTGATTGGCTCCCCCTGTGTTTTCTGTCGCAATTCATGATAGCAAGATCCTCTTTCTGAAAACCATCGGGCCCTGGGATAATCAAGTTAAATTTTAATGGGTGCTCCTTCGGCAACCCTGGGCCTGCCGCCATTGGTGGCCTACTTCATAACCAGGAAGGCCAAATCCTCGACAGCTTCTCCAAGTTTATCGGCCATGACGATGCGCAAACAGCTGAAGCTTGCCCTCCTTGAAGGGATTTACTTGTTCAAATAGAGCAGGTCCCTCCCTCAAATAGCTGAAGGAGATTCACACAACGTCATTTAGTGGGCTTTGTCGGCGAGCACCTACCCATGGAACCTTGCCTATGTGTTCAAAGAAATTGCTCACATGTGCGTGGGGATTTCTGTCTCTTGGAACCATGTCCGACGAGAGAGTAACTCTCTAGCGGATGAATTGGCTAAACAGGGTGCCATTGGTCCCATTGGCCCTGGCCCCTAGAGGTTGGGGGCCCTTGGCCTCTCTTAATTGTATGGGAGCTTGTTGCCATAGTTCTGGCTGTTTCTATCCTCTTGTTTACCCCTGTTTAGGGGATACTGCTTGTATTTATAATTTATAGTAATACAATGTTAACATTCTCAAAAAAAAAAGACTATGATGTTGTGAGAGCCAAAAAGCCTTAATAGACTTTCGAGATGCATTAATATACAATAATCTCTGCGAATTTACCCAATAGATTTATCAAACTATAAATCACGAAGTGGGGGGAAGTCTCACCTCAACCCCACCTCAAGGTAAGATGTTCATATAGAATGCTTGCAATAACCAAATACTTATGTAGGACATGTTTGGTGGGTGATCAATAAAATGCTTATTAATGATCATCTATGGTATACGGTACTAAGTAAAATGCTCATTATTCGTTGTCTCATTGTATATTTTGTGGGGCATAGACTGAAACCCCTAAAAAAAAAAAAAAGAAATGGAAATGGGTTTTAATGGTGATCAAAATTTATGGCCTCTTGTGGTCTTTGAATTATGAGGAAAATGCAATATCTGGGTCTTTCAAGCTAGTACCAAGCTATGTCATCATCTAAAGGGTCGGAAGAATCATATAAATGCAACATTGGTTGGAAAATGCAACATGCTTGGTCTTTGGATTCTGGATACTAAGATGTTGTATTTAGAGTTTTATATTATTTATAAGTTTGAATTCTGGACTCCATATTATGAATATGATATCCAAGGGTCCCATATTATTCGGATTGATGTCTTTTACAGCCCTCTCCTAACTATAGTCTTAGTGTATTGAGTGCCCTTAACGTAACTCGTCACCGCTAATAAAAACAAGGTCGAGCTCCCTTACTTGTGTTCCTTCTTGTAGTTTCTAGGACTCCAAGAAAACAATATATCATATGTGTTTCTCCTTCTTATTTTGAAGAGGAAATGAGGAACTGCAACTTTAACTAGAAAGAGTCTTTAAGATGTCGACCTCGAGCTCTTAGAGCGCCGTATGCTTCGATTCTTTATTGGAAAACCTTTCAATGTTGGGGTCTATCGAAAGCGAGGACCCAAACCAAGATGTTGTATGTGTTTTTTATGCATCTTTTGATGATGAAAGAAAGATATGCATCTTCTCACTCGATTATGAGTCTTTGTGATGTGGACCTCGAGCTCCTAGAGAGCCATGTGCTTTGACGATTTAATAAAAAATCCTTTCAACATCGGGGTCTATCAAAAGTGAGAAACAATTTCTAATTTCATGAGGAGGGTGATGAACTAAAGTGTTTATCATTGATAAACACAATGCTCAAGTTGAAAGTTGAATATTGTGGTTGACACTTACCTACAAAAGACATTACTATCATACTTTGCTAATAAATCAATAGATCTAGAAATTTGCATTTAAATTTTGAATCCTGATTCCGTGTTATTATAACTTCAACTCCATGTTGATCGAAACATTGTTCAGTGCATCTATGAACCCCAGGTTTTGATGACGTGGATCTAGCTTCCAAAAAACATTGATTCACTATTCCTAAAAATTGGAATCAAGGTCTCATGCATGTTGAATCCAGCTCTTGTGCACCTATGAATCACAAATTTTGTGAGATGGAGTCTTGATTCCCAACTTCCAAGAATTGGGATTAAAAAAAAATTTGGAGCTAGATTCAAGAAATTGGGAATTGTGATTCCTATATTATGAGAATTGTGATTCATCATGGGAAATGCGGGATTGTGATTCCTGACTAGAATCGCGGACTTGGTACAAGATTCGGGTAATTATACTACCACCACAAGTTGCCTTATGTGCCCCGCAAAATGAAAGCCTAGACCATATTGGAGCATCATAGGTGTGACAGCTCCTCCACATTTGGCCTCCATAACACTGATCTGAACCTTCAAGGCAGTGAAATTCTGCCTCAACCCACCAGCTTGGGCCCTTTGGACCATGACTTGTGCCAGCTGCTTTTCAAAGTGGCTAACACGCACCCATATTTTGGCCTTCTGGCCATGTTCACGGAATCTTGCTCTAATACCAGTTATCATGCGAGGTAGCTTTCTATTTAAACAAACCATGTGATACCAAGCCAAAGTCAAACCCAGACTAAAGCAAGGCTCATGCAAGATGAATGGACACAACAAGCATACAAGGTCACACACAAGTTATGGAAAAGGGCTATGGCCCACTCTTATTCACTATCAACTTGCTCAGATGCAGCCACAGATGCCCGTCAATGGTGACGGCAAGGGGGTTGTATATCCTTTAATATACACCCACACAGTCACCCTCATTTATATGACCATTAAAGCCTGCACCACCATTATTACTTACCACTTAGTGTGGTAGTTTTACCAGTCCATACCCCACGTTCAGTGGTTGCCAACATGGCTAAGTGTGTATTTAACATGCTCCATGGGTCATTATTGCCCATGAATGCCAATTCAAACTTTACGGTTATTACATGCTTCTTAACTACATGTACAGTCATCCTCTCCCACATGGTCTATGGCTGTTACCCAAGCCTATGTCTAGGGTGGTCACAGATTTTGAATCCAATTTCCCACACATGATAATTGTGGTCAAAGGCACTTGCGCACGAGGTGTGTGTTCAATTGCCTCTAGCACATGGTCCATGCCTAGGTCCTATTAAGTCATGCTGCCCATGTTCGACTACCCAACCCACAGCTTGTTGGTCTCAGTTATCCAACAAGTCCCACCACGTTGGCCATCCATCCATGCCACTCGCACAAGACCTCACACTAAGGGTTTTTGCTGTTGGCCCACATATGCATGGGCATTCCTGCACCATGCTGGGCCAACCCTGCCTCCCACCTAAGATCAGTCGAGTTGAAGGTATTCCCTCACATAGGTTTGTTGGTCTAAAGAAGTGGCTTGCCAGGAGAGAGATAGATAAACTTAGCACCAGTCCGTACGGGATTTGTGGGTCTTTTGCAAAACTTTTCTGTCGATAAGGAGGTTCTATGGCCCTCGCTTAGCCTTCATGTGTGATGCTCAGTCAGGAGTCTACCGCCAGGCCAGGGTCCGGCCTGGGTTCTGGCTTGCCAGCCCTACCTGTGCGCAGCCCGATGTCACCCCTAGCCACTATCTATCGACTATCTTGAGACACAAATATTTGCCAGTACATCAGCTTTGCAATTCTAACCAAATATCATCGCCAAGTGCTAAGGAGGAGAGGCTACCTTACTTGTGCATGTAATGACCTTGGGGCTATCACCATCAATGATGATCAAGATCTTCTCTTTGAGGGCATAATGTGAACTCTGTTGAGCAAAGCTGTTACCTATGCCAAGTAAGAGTCATAAATACCTGAGAATGGCAACAATAGTCAGTGGGCTGAACTGTTAAAATTCTGGATTCTGAGATAGACTTGTGCCACTCATATTCCTATGGAGTTTATTACTCTAGCATAGCCCAGTAGTAAATTGAATTCTAATTTGTGAATTCACAACTGCCCTAAATTTATTTGTTGTAACTATCATAAATTTATTCATTAGGAATGTCTTTGGATTTCTTATAGCACTCATAGCTTTCTGTTTCTGCTGTGGAGCTCAATTCCTTAATGCTTAAGAGAGTGCCAACCAGTGAATAAATAATATGTTTCAACTCAGAAAAACTCGCTAAGTCAACTCGACTCGGGAAGTTGCTATGTCTAATAATTGAAAACTCAGACTACCTGAATAATGATAATGTATTAGGTTTTGTATATCTTGTCTCCTAAATGCATACTCCTATACGTTAGCACCTCCTTTTTGACTTTGTGATGAGCAGGGTTTGAACCCAGCATGGGATGACTTTAGTCTTTTTATGCTTCCCCACAAAAAAAAAAAAAAAAAAAAAAATGATCGCCAAGTTTTTCCAGTGTATTGTTCAATTCAGTCAGTCATCTTGGTTTTTGCAAGGACTGAATTGATCATCGAGTTCAAGTTTTTAGTCACTGGTGTAAATGATCACCAAAAAAAGAAAAAAGAAAATCACGAGTGTTAACATTAATATATCACAACTACTGGCACCCAAATCCAATGTGTTATGGAGCAATTTGGTATTGTACTGTAGCATTTAGTGTCGTGACTTACACATCCCACTTTCTTCCTTTTCAGTATCTTGCAATTTCTGCTCATCCTCCTGATTGTTCATTTCACAAGATTGGCGTCCCATTGAGTGGGAGAGGCATGATCCAGTTATGGTCACTTCTGAATGTTAGTACAAAAGGGGATTCTCTATTGCCACAAAAATCAAGAGTAAGAAAGATGACAGATAGAAGCGAAACTGTAGATGATGTGATGGAAGGTACATGTGGGAGGGCATGGACGTTGAATGAAGGTTCTATGCCTGGAACTAGCAATATTGTTGGTGGGCCAACGACAACAACCCATATTGGCTTTAACCACACAGATTCTTCATACCTTCAAGACACTGTGGTTTCTAAGGGCAAGAGCAGAATCAAAGATAAAGCAAGGGCAAAGGCATCTGATAATATTTCTCAGATGGGATCATTGGCTTTGATTGAGATGAATAAAACTTCTACGGCTCAAATGTATGGTAATAAGAATGGTGCTATTACAAAGGTTGATTCAGTAAGTGCTGTTTTATCAAAGGAGCTTGCTTATCCTAGGATCGCGCTATGCTTGACCCATGAAGGAAAAGTGGCCTGGGATGTGAAATGGAGACCACCGAATGGGAAAGACATGGAAAACGATGAGAGCCTGGGCTTCATGGCTGTAGTATTGGGAGATGGTTCTATTCAAGTGTATGTTACTCTGCAAGGAACATATGTAGAAGTTCTCATCTGTTACTTAATGCTTTTTATCTTCTCCTTTTTCTCTGATAGATTTGTTAGTAATTTCTATTGTTGTCTTTGCTTATAGGTTGTAGTTGTATTTTTGTTATGTTAGAATCAATTTCCTATGCGTCCAGAAATTTCTTCATTCAAAAGCTAGTTTACTCCAATGCAGTATTCCTCCATTTTCTGTTTACTTATAACTCATTCATTTTTCTACATGAACATTTTATTTTGTTTGCAGATGGGAAATCCCGTCTCCAGTTATGCTCAAGAGTTTGTATGGTTGTAAAAGTCGAAAGGGGACTGATCCCCGTTTTGTGAAGTTACTGCCTGTTTTTAAATGCTCAAAGTTGCAATGTGGGAATAGGCAGAGGTAAAGATAGTTTTGGGGCTGTTTCAAGTAACTTCTTTTTTTATTCTGCAATTGTTACTCTCAAAAGCATAATGTGTTTTTTTCTTATGGTGATATTGTGTGTTATTTTACATGCAAGTGGTGCTACATATGTGATATATATATAATCATAACTTGAGTTTTCTCAATGTGTAGCCTGAGCTTGTCAAGAGTACAAAATGGTGCTGTGTATATTGAAAATTACGTAAGGACCTGAAAATATTTCCAGTATTACGTAATGATCAATATTTTCTATGAATATATGCTTAGGCCCATGACTTTATTTTTTTCAGTTTTGCTCTGCGGTTTAATGTTCCTAACATCGGATTGGTAGGAATTTAAAAAAAAAAAAATTGTTATAATTTGGGCTTTTTGAGGCCTTGGATACTGAACAACCCAATTTCTGGGTCTGCCTGATGTTAGAAACATAGGACAACCCGAAACTAATATTTTAATGTTATATTAGCATCATCCGATATCTTAAATATCAAACCACTCCACACTTATGTTTTTTTTTTTTTTAAAGTTTTGAGGGGTCCAATATTTGTGATACCAGACCACCAAGTTTGTAGTAACTTAAGGAAAATCTTGCAATCTGATATCCGGGACATCGGATACTCCCTGGTCTTTCTAGGCACCGTTCCATGGTTATCAGACTTCGAGGTTTTGAGTTGTCTGACATCTATATGATACTGGACTGCTCTTAAGTGTTAACGTTTTTTATTAGTTCATACCTGGTCCGCTATTTTTCCCTGTAAATAGTCATGGAGTCCTTTTTTCTTGAATATTCATTTAGACTCCCTGATGCAAGAGGAAAGCCTCAGATAGGGTGTAGCTCTTGTTCTCATGAGTCATGCCACTTTTGTGGATTCAAATCCAGTGTGATGAGGACTTTCATTTGACTAGATTGGTGGAATGGGTCATGGTTACCTGGAATAAGAATCATGTCACTTTTGTGCATTCAAATCCAGTGTGATGAGGACTTTCATTTGACTAGATAGGTGGAATGGGTCATGGTTATCTGGAATTGGAATGTCTTCTGGAAATTTGGGGAGGCAGCTCTCGTTCTCAAGCCTCAAATAGGGTGCAGCTCTTGTTCTCAAGAGTCATGTCACTTGTGGATTCAAGTGTGATGATGGAATGTGTCATGATTCCCTGGATTTGGAATGTCTTTTGTAACTATGACGAGTTTGTATGCACAAGAGAAGGACAGAGTATAAATAATTTGGGTGATTTGGAATGACACGGGGAACGGCATCAAGAAGCTCTAGGAATTCATGGGAGGCACTTTCCCCATATCAGATGATGGACTCATGGTAAATGCATGGAGACACAGGAATTCGTGGTAGTGGCACAAAGGAATGTGGAGAAGCCCCCTCCGTCTTTTTTGGCAAATCTAGCATGCAAGAAAGCAGTCATTTTGCAATTTGTTCCTCGGAAATGTTTTCCTGCTGCTATAATCTTCTTGCTGGAAAACATTGCCTGAATCACAATCCTCTAAAATATATACCTCTGCTGGCATCAAAGCACTAGCTTTTCCCCCACCACAAAGTGCTTGGATGTGTAGCCTATATGCGTCAAAGCACTTTCTCCTTAGGGTGCTGCTACCACTGGCTTCCCCATCACTTGCCCTGCTATGCACACAAGCAACTCGCTTAGTAGGGGGCTGCTACCACTGGCTTTGCTTGTTGCTATGTGGAGTAGACTGAACAATTTCTAAGAAGGGCTTGAAAGAAGAAAAAAAAAAGAAATGAAAAATGTATCAGTAGTTTTGAATACTATTCCTATGACTCTTATTATTATGCTACTCTTGCTACTGAAACTTTTGGTTCTCTTTCTATCGATAATATGATCTACATGGTTCAAAAGGTGTTGAAAAGAAATGGATATTTTTTACCAATAGTGTGGCAATCCTTATTGGCGTTGGAGCTTATTCAGAATTTCGTCTCACAGAAGGTTCTTTCCATTTTTTCCCCCTTGCTCATCAGAGATTGACGAGTCACATTATCTCTATATCAAACTGAAGATATTTTGTTAGTTTGGAAGGAATTGGGAAACTTCTAAGTGGAGTTCTGTTTAAACATCCTTTAATTTATTTACTGAATCTGTGATGCCTATAAGTCATCATTAATGAAAACACAAGGACATGGAATTTTTTATTCTTAGTTAACATTTCAACTTATTTTTTCAGCTCGTGTTCTACATTTGTCTTAGGCAAAACACTGATGATTTACGTGAACTCATGATGATATAATGATATTGTGGCTGTCCAACTTGTTCTCATTTTGGATATGATGATAATGCCATGAGAAACATTAAAAAATAATGAATTTTCTCAAAAGGCGTTATTAGTCTATTGAGCAGCTCCTTATGCTTACTGACGGTGTGTCAAACAGTATACCTCTTACGGTGGAGTGGTCACCAACAATTCCTCACGATCTAATTTTAGTGGGTTGCCATGATGGAATGGTAATATTCAAGTTCTTGACTTTTTTTTTAATTTATGATGGAAATGTTGTGTCATTGGTTTTCAGTTTAGGTTTCCTCTTAATGCATTTGCTCCTCTATTGCATAGAATACATTTGATAAAAAGGCAGTTGTTCTATTGCATTTTTCGTCAATAGACCTTTCCCATAACTGCTTTGATGTAATCTGTCATGTCTGAACATTCTCTTGACACAATTATGTGTCAGGCAATAGCATATACATTTGTTCACTTGCACACTGACACCTGATCATCCTCTTCACAACATTCGACCAACCAGAGTATTTTAAGCTCCGTGCTTTTATGATGCCCCAATGTCGCCTCTGATTTTTCAAAGGAATGCAAAGAAAGAAAAATAATGCTCCAAAATTGTGTCTGGTATTATATACATCCATTGTATCACTTCATTTGCACATCTGTGTATGACATGTTAATTTGACTGATTATGTGGGAGGACTGATCAACTTTTGTAGGAATTTACAAAATACTATTATGCCATAGATCATTCTCTTTAATTCTTTTACCAATGTAAATGTGCATAATTTTTGTATTGCATGTTTCTCTAGGTTTACATGCTAGTTGATTAATGAGAAATGATTTTGGGACCTATTTTCTACCCAGGTTGCTTTGTGGAAGTTTTCTGCAAGTGGTTCCTCCAAAGGTACCTCTCACCTTTGGAGTTTCTTAATATAACGTTTCAACTAACTGCATCATTGCTTGTATTTTAACTATGAAAGAACTTCTGTCAACTTTTTACCTAGGGAAATGAAATGTAATGTAATAAAGAAGAATTAACTCTCGATTTTTATTTCGCCCAAAATAATGTAATGCTGGGGATCTGGCTTTTAAGGAATTATAACATGTTCCATCAAGGTTGCCATATTGTGCTCTTCCCGTGCAGGAAAATCACATTCCTGTCTCGAGGGTACCTAAAAATTCGAAACACCCTAGAATTCACTTGGTTTGGAGCTGTGAATAACCTCCAAATCTCCTCAATCTATCACCCACTGAAATGGATGGTCCAGATCTTATTTTAGAATTGCAGTAGATATGAAACATCTGTGGGGCTTCAAATCCATTTCTTTTTTCTTGTATCAGTTTTTGTGGTCCAAGAGAATGTTCAGGAATTTTTGCAGTCTCTACCGTACCTTGAAATTTGGTATTTTCGGTTGTCTAGGTGCCAGTTTTAGTGAACCAGCTGGAACACACTATCATATCCCTCTTTTTAATATTTCCATTTGATGTGCAGATACAAGGCCCATACTTTGCTTTACAGCTGATGATCTCCCTATCAGAGCTCTTGCTTGGTGTCCAGCTGAAAGTTAAGTATTAATTTTTGTATTTATAACATTCTTTCGACAATTTCTGTTTTATTTTGTTTTGATGTTGAGTCCCAACTGGCAGTTCATTTAACACAGTCTATCTTCTCAACAGATACCTGAATTCTATGCTCTATCGGTTTTCACTTGCACTAGCACTCTAGTTTTACTCATTAAGAACGATCTATCATGCATGGCAATCCTGCTTCACATGGGCCTGCTTGGGCATCCACTTCGGAAATTACATTTACATTGGTTCATTATTGGGGGGAAAATGACCATAGATAAGGGTATTTCTTGTCGTTTTCGCTCACTTTAGTGGTGAGTGGGAAAGTCCCATGAACTACCGAGCCTGACCAATTGATTAGGGATCTATAAGAGGTTTTGAACTTAAAGAAATGTTGGTGATTCATGATTGGGAGTTTTACAAAAGAAGCAAATCAAAATTATATTCTTATGCTATATTTTTGTGCAGTAATAGTGGAAATTAATTTATTGGAAAAGAAAATAAAAAATTATATCGTCAGGTTTTTATTTTAGAAGAATAATATTAATGAATGATAATATTGGAGTGATAAAGAAAATGTTAAATGTTGAATAATTATCTTGTTCTCCATGTTTTCAGTATAGAACTGTGTAGGAGACTGGGGCGATAAGCATGCCTGAGCATGGTGTGCCTTCTTGAAGCAGCTAGGCACATCTTTATAATCCACCAGAAATCTTAGTTACTGGGAATGCTATAGTAAGGACACTACCATTCATCAGGCATTGTTTAGGTAGTGGCAGGAACTGGATCCATTTTGAGGTCCTTGTGTCAAGCAAGATAATAGAAGGGGTTCATTTTTTATATTCCTTTTATTTTTATTTTTATTTTTTACTTCAGTGTGCTTGGAGATTTCTTTTATATGGCCCCACTTGGACGTCTAGGTTGCCATATCATAGCCTTTTGTTTAGTTGCCTTTACTGGCAATCGTGGAAATAGGCACTCTTCAATGGTCATAATCAAGTGGAACCGTGTCCATGTTTGGTGATAGGAATTGCGTTATTTTCTTCTCTCTCTGAGGCCAAAACAGGGCCAGTTGGTGGCATTTTCTAAATAAGCGGGATTCACCATTCATTAACATGCATCATGAATAGTGGCATGCCTAGTTGGTAAACTATCCTGTCAGGCACAAGTTTAAGACAGTTTTATGGTTGAGGTCCAATTGGGGCCTACATCTTTGTCTTAGTTTCCATTTTCTATCAACGCTTAACTTAGTAATATTAATTAAATGCTAAAAACTAAAATTGCATGCTCTCTGTTCTGAAATTGGCTTTTTCCATTGATTTGTTTCTGTGTTCAGTTTGCTTTAATGACTTCTGACATGGTAATCCCTTTTCCATGAGTGCTCGAATTATCTTTGTTTTATGTCTGAGACTTGGGAGTTTTTGAACTTCAGTGATGAGGAGAGCTCAATTTTTTTTGCAACTGCTGGTCACAGCGGCAGCTTGAGATTTTGGGACATACGGTTCGTGATAGCTCACTCTTTCTTTCATTTTTACTAACCTATTTGAGGATTCTATAATTACATTTTTAATATTTGATATGCATCTTTCTCCTTTTTCTCTTTTTATCTCGGTTTCTTTGAAAGAAAATCGGATCATGGGTAAAAGACAAGGCAAGAAGTTGAAGCAATATGGAGGATACGTCCAACTCCATATCCCCTTAGAGATGGACATCCAACTCTCTATATATGTGTCCGTGCGTTTGTGTGTCTTACAAATGAATTGGGGTTAGTCATAATACCAAACTACCCATCTACATTATAAATATTAGAAATGCTTCTCCTATACATAATGAATATTACAAAAATTACATCAGATTACATCCTTGTCCTCAATACATCCCTCCTTAATCTGGTTATGGGATAAGACCATGGACCATAGTTACTGGGAGCGCCCAATTAGGGCGGCGCTCCCTCTCCGGAACCGAGCTTCGGCATTCCATGACCGGAATCTCGATCGGAACTCATTTTAAATTGTTTGGGAGCTTGCTCCTATTTATAGATTTCTCGATCCCATGCACAAAGAATCTCTATCCCTCTGTCACACAGAACGCGTTCCTTAAAATTATAGGTCTCATTCTTGAATAAATTAGATCCCTGCTCCTAGAATTTTAGGAGCGCGAACCCTACGTTCCCGGAACTCTATTCCTACTCTCCCAAGAACTTCCTAAAAGAAACCTTTTAAGTAAAATTAACTTTTAAATAAAAGAATTATATTTTAAGCCAAATTTTCATACAAGTGGAGTTCTGCGATGGGAGCACAAACTAATCATGCACAAAACGCGATTCTTCCTTTAATGGAGCTCGATCCTTTCCAAATAGGAACATGGTCATTCTTAAATGGGTGCGCGATCTTGTTGTTGATGGGAGCGCGATCCTAATGCATATGGGAACACGGGCCCATTTGACATGGAACGCGTACCCGTTAAATAAGAATCTAGATCCCGATGTATTGGGAACGCGCTCCTTGTTCATACGGGATCTTGATCCGCTACTTTTACCCTCATTGGAACTCACCCCCTGAGCTCCGGAGCTTTGGGCAGCCGTCGATCTGACGCTCCCACTTTTGGAACTGGAACAATTCCTGCTCCCGCTCCCGCTCCCGCTCCCAGTAACTATGCCATAGACAGTTTGGCTTTGAGAACCAATGTCTGATGGATGTAAGTTCCTAGGTAAAAATGTCTGTTTTTAGGGCTTACTACTCACGATGGGTGCTTCAGTTTTTTTATCCTCAAGCTTCTCTTGAACAAGGTCTTGGTCTAGCTCTTTATATTTAGTTTTGCCATGGTGAACAAGGCTTAACGATTGGGAGATAGCGCTTCCGTTGTTACGATATGATAGTGAGCAGAAATCTTTTGATCTAGTTTTCTAAGGAGATGTCAAATCCAAGACAGTTGTGCTATAACTGCTGCCATGGAGCGATACTTGGCCTCTATGCTACATCAAGCTTTGCTCCGACTACTCTAGGAAACAAGATGAGGAACTAGGTCAACATGGTACCCTGAGATAAAGTGACAAGTGTTCCCACCCGCATTGGAGAAGGCAACCACCACTAAAGATGTCGACGAAGAGGGCAAGGTAGGATGAAATTAAACGGGTCCATTGGCAGTCGTTGCTTTGATACAACAAAGAATGCATTGGCTTCCATGTGGTCGTCCTGGGTGAATGCATGTATTGAGAAATCTGGTCCACAGAAAACATGATATCAGGCTTGGTAAAACACAAATGCCATAGCGCTACGGCAATGCCGCGGTATTCCTCAAGATTTGAGTCTCCTGCAGCATCTTCTGGTGAGAGTTAAGGGCAGCAAGTGCATGCATTGGCTTACATACAATCTAGCTTGCCTGTATGCTTAAGTATGTCAACTACATATGTTTGGTCGTTCGGCCTTCTATCCACCTCAATACTAAAAAAATACCAAAGACGTCCAAGATCTTGCATCTGGAAGGTATCACTAAGAAGTTTCTTGATGTTCTCAATGTGAAAGGGAGAACTACTTGTGATAACAATGTCATTCACACACAAAAGAATAGTTCGGCTATGATCTCTTGAGAAAATAATGAATAGTCAACTCCCAGACTCCTAATAAACAATACGAATAGTTCCAATCCTTACCATAGGCTAAAATCTCATCATAATCGCGACTATACTCCTATATGTATCCCTTTGGCACTAGTCTTGCCTTGCACTGTTCTATGCTTCCATCGGCTTTGTATTTGATCTTATACACCCATCTATAGCCAATCATATTTTAAGAGCTGATCTATCAGTTTCTGGGTTCCACGTGAGCAAAGACATCATTTCTGAATTAGTAGCCTCCACCTATCAATGCTGTTTACAGGTCTGGTGATGGTGTTTGGGTTCTACATGATGTTGAACCATGGTTGACACGTTTACCTGTTGGATGTCTTACATGTGGATCCCCAATGTGGACAGATGCCTTATGTGTGGATCACCAAATTGGACTAGGGGTTCATCACAAGAAGGTTTGGCTGAAAAAACGATTTGCTGCAATGTATGAAGTAGAAGGTCATAGAGTGCGATCAATAGGACTCGGCGAAGTGTCAATGCTGCCCTGCATTGATAGGGGATAAGTGGCTTTTTCTGTTGATTATCAGGAAGTCGCCGAAAGTTACTTGGAACTGGATTTTCACATTTCAAACTGGGAGAAGAGCTTGGAGTTGAGGGTGATGGAGACGTAGTGGTATGTGTGCCAATGGGTTTGGAAGAACGCTGCTGGTCAGAGAGACTATGATGGTGATGGAGGTGCTGACTATGTGCTTAAGAAGTAGTAACAGTGCATGCATTTGTCATGTGGGAGCCAAGAGCAGCTTTTGTAGTCGATGACATTTGTAGATTAGAGGTGATGATAGATAATAGCACTGGGAGTTGATAGTTTCTCATGAGCAGACTCCTCTATACCCAGTTTGGCATGAGAAATGTTGGCTGCTTGCATTGTTTTGGGTTCATCATTTGGGAGACCACTCACATGAAATGAGGTTGCATCGTAACAACATGCCTGGATACATGTATCCTCGTGGTTTTGGGGCTGAAACATCTACACCCTTTATGGTGCTTGTCATAGCCAAATGACCTGCAAATTTCCGCTCTCAGTGCAAATTTATCACATGAAGCTTTGTCAATATGGATGTAACATATGCATCCAAGAATTCATAAACATAAATAATCAGGATGAACTTCATGTAGTGCAGATAAGGGAGTATCCAAAACGCCCAACCCCCAAAGACACACACACCCCACCACAACCGCCCCTCCCCCCCCCCCCCCTTCCCCCGCCGGCACCCCACGGGCCGCCTTTTCTTCTCCCTTCTTTTTGGAATGCCTTGGATCGCGGCCTATTGATCCAGAAAACAGTTGTATGAAACACTTCGGTCCATAGATCTGCCATCAATCCACTCAAATGCATCATGGAGTTCAGTTATGGCGGTATGCCTATGTTTTCATTTGGTAATACCACTTTGTGCAGATGTGTGTGGGCAAGACTTCTGGTGTGCCAGCGAAATTTGGTAGGGGCTTTGGAAGTGTATCCACCCCGGCATCACTCATAGACTAATGATTATTTGAAAAATAACATGCTTCGACATAATCTTTAAATTGGTAAGAGGTACTGATGTCTTTAGATTTGGATTGGAGAAAACAATCCACATATGATGCCTATAGCCATTAACAAAAGTAACATAAAAAAGCGAGCGCCCAAACATCAATGTGTACTACAAAGGGATACAAAACTCTTTTATTATGAATGGGAGCTGATGACTCTTACATACTTACAATTCGGAGAGAGAGGTCTTTTGCATGGACGGCTGTATTTCTTTGACGTGAATGTTATCTAGTAAACCATAATGAAAATGACCCAAGCAGCAATGCCACAAACCAGCCACATTATTATCGGAAGCATCAACACTTGACACCAAAAGGGGCATTGACAACTTTGAGGAATATCAAGCTTTGTTAACTGCGTAGTGGTTTCCGCATCTTCTCCCTTTAAGTACGCCTTGTTTGTGTGAAGATCCTTAACAAGAAACAAAATGATGGAGAAAACGTGACATTAGAATTTTACTGATAAACAAGTTGTGACACAAAAATCAAATTACATTTGATTTGAGGCGGCAGAAATCACTGTATCTCCTATGAGTGTGATAGGGTGGATCTTAGCAGCACTAGTAACTGCCATACATTTTCTTGAATAGGGGATAAGGTAGATAACTTACTCGCATCACCTGATCCCTGATTTTCTACAACAAAATCCAGAATCGCAGAATCATTGATTTGCTGCACATTGAGTTGTGATGTAGCAGTAACTAGGGATTCGTGCTGGCCATGGTTGGAGGATGAAGCACCTCCCAGTTGGTCACAAGAAGCACCTTACTCTACAGTAGAAAAGGAATGAATGTATGGTCAAAACAATGCAAACATGTCTAGCCACACAGTTGGCAAAATCACACCTCCACTTCCCATCGACTGAACATTTGCTGGAGGAGCCAAAAGTTCATAATACCTTGATGTCCCTGTCCGCTTACTCAATTGTTCCTTACACATCCTCAGAATGAGTCATTGTTTCAAAAGGAGGACCGCGCAGCTCTTAGGCGGTCCAGATGGCCTAGGAGCCTCACCCAGGCCTAGGCAGCCAAATTAGGCGGTCTGCCCATGGGTGGCCACCAAGGCGGTAGTGTACCTTTCTAGGCTGGGTGCTCAGGGCATGCACCCTACCCAGGGGTGGAAATGCCCCTTGTTGAGGGGCATTTGTTGGTTTTCTTGGAAAATATAAAGATTTAAAGTTGGGTTTTAGGTTCATTTGAAATCTGAACCCATTAGAACCCATTTTAGAGAGAGAGAAACCTCAAAAAACTAGATTTTGTGATTTTTATTGGATCGAAGGGTTTCTCAAAGTTACGAGAAATGGATTCAAACATCACCCATTGAGATTAGGTTTAGTTTTGGAG